TGTTAAAAAAAAGCTAAATTGGTTCCACTTCCTACCGAGTAATCCTATTACAAGCAAACTAGACAATTGGCTAAAAACGAAGCCCACTCTATACCCTATAAAATCTAAAAACAAAATAGAGAGTTCAAACAGCTTCGAAAAAAAGAGAGACAGCCATTTGTATCGGAATACTGTTTTCAGCACTTTATTTCATAATTACACAATTCCATACTTTCTTCTGAACTACCTTCATTCATACAGTTCCTTACCCACTGATACCTTGCCCACACTTATTTTTCTTTAACACATTAGTATGTTCTTACCTAATAAATACTTCAGTAACAGACAAATAGAATAAATGGTTATACATTAACTATTCCTCCATGAATATTGTGTGCTCTGCTTTTCGTCCTTCCTTTTTCTTACACCTTTTTCAGCCTCCTGCAGATACTCCACCGAAAACAGATATGGCACGGGTGACTTCGTCCTACACCGTTATTAAAGCCTCAGATATTCCGGAGGGATATAAGTTCGAAACTTCTAAAAGCCCCCAACTTCGCATGTATCTATTCTCGACCATCAGTTGTATGTTGCAACGCTACCTCCATAAAGTGCGCCAAGTGTGATATTGATATGTTTCTTACGAAATACATTTACATTCATATCTTATGAAATGTCAACCCCGCTGAGTAATTTTCAACAGTGAAAATTGTAACTTCTTTAACAATTTGACCTTGCCTGTAAACCGGCATGCCTTGTGTAACAATCTGTTATTTGAGAATAAATTATTATTATTATTATTATTATAAACACAGCCGTCAAATGAGAATTGGTTATGGGGTCAGCAGAAGAACAAAAATGGTTTACAGACAAGGCATATTTATACAGTTACAATGACTATTAACAGTAACCAATGGAAAGGAAGGACACGTAAAGGTTATAAATAGGACAACTGAAAATTGACCAATAAAGAAACGACACATGAAAGTCATAGTTAGGACAACTGTAAATAATGGCCAATAGGAAATAACATGCGAATTATGTGAAGAGTCTGAAAACATACCACTTTACATTCGAGATAATTTTTGGGATATTCTTGTGAATATCCTAACACCAACAATATTCCCCCCCCCCACGAAGTAATGTTGGGTCCATACGTCGCAATGTTACGACCAATTCGACGTTCTGAATTATTTTTAACTTCTTATATATCACGATTCGATTCTTATGTGTGAGCATCTGGGGATAAACACATATGAAATTTGAGGCATTCCATCATGTGCATTTGACTTGCATAAAAATTATGGTACATATTCCTTTTCTTATTCATATTACAATACACAGATAAATATGCATTGATATGTGTATTTAACACATGTGACTCATCTAGGCTTGATTCACCTGCGAAACAATCAAACGGGAAACTTACATCTGCCTCATACTCATTAGGAAAACCTTTGACATCATTTAGATTCTCCACTTGTGCAAACTTCATATCTGGACAAACTAGTTCTCTGAATGCTTCGAGAAAACTTACTATTCCCCCCGATTCATCAGACCACTGACTAGGGATTCTACTCAACATACATTGTTCGTGAGAATATCCAATATCTGATACAATAACATCAGAAATGTAACTAGGATTCGACTCCTCCGGAACATATTTGTCACACTCATTGGGGATATCACTGGAGATAAATCCCTTGTGGGGACAAATGACATTTGATATGACATCAGACTTTGATTTTTCTGAAATATTTCCCTCAAATTTATTCAGAGATTCATTAGAGAATAATGGATCATTAGGAAAATCAACATCTATCAAAACTCAATCCGGTTTTTGATCATGATTTGACTCATTCAACATATTATTCTCAGAGTTGTAAGAAATGTCATCAGAAATATGTGACTGATTATGACAAACCGCATCTGGTACAATAACACGAGAAATGTGATAAGAAGTTGGTTGATCAGAAACTTTTGTCTGACAATGATTCTGGGCTTCATTCAACATTGGACTGCTATGTAACATCATCCCGCTTCTCGAAGTTTTGGATAAAGATAGGTGATCATTAGAAACATAGAACTTAGTAGGATCACAACCACAAATTTTAGCATTGGTTTCAGAGAAATGAACCATGGTATTACAAACTGACTGAATGTGTCCAGATTGACCACATTTAAAGCATTCACAATTAAAAAATACACATGGGTGAAACATGACACAGAAGAAGCGTTTACCAAACTTGTGCACATCTTCGTGAACTGTTTCACAGATTAATTAACTGTTGTCTGAATAACCTTGATTACGTATTGAACTACGACGACGTATTAAAGTAGTGGGATTCCTGATGTCTTTTCGAATCATTCCATTGAATTTTTCTCCTTTACCGCATTCTAAATTTGTATCATTACATAGTCCAGTGGTAGTTGCTTTACAGTTGCATAAGGGAGTGAAATCGGTTTGTCTGGAAATGCCAAAGTCTGTAGTAAGCTGCATGCTTCTTTTCCGATGAACGAAAGCAAATTAGAGATAATATTAAAGTCCTCAACATCCTCTTTGGTCACAGCCCAGATTTCGAAGCTTTCCGTGTACTCCTCAAAAGCAATAAAATCCGAATGTCAGTCCAACCGTCCTATCAAAGGTTCCATCGCGAGGCCAATGTGATATTTAATAGTATTTGAATCATAGTATAAACCAGTAATCCCACAAACAACGCAATTTAATAGAGAAGCATTAGATGAACACGAACGAATGTATTGTATTTGGAAATACAATCAAGCAGTCATCAATACAAAGGAATCACTGCTTCATTCAAACACCACAACCGACCTCACAAAACCGAAAATATGCTTCTAAAAGAGCTGAGTGAAGCCTACTTAATTATCTTTGCCCATTATAGGGTTGACGCATACTACAGCCACACACTAATACAATATTGGCACAATCATTCCAAAATAAAACATTTCTCCTATTGAACATTACAATAATAAATTAATCACAGTGCACCACTCTTCACACATTTAGCATACTTAGGTGAAATTCCAACTTCACAAGTGACACATTTCGCATGCAATCGAAACACATGAAACCCACTATTGGATTCACGATTGACGCATAAACACATTATATCGATCACAGTTGTGCAACAATTATGGAGTCTGAATTTCAGAGCTTGATGATTAATTTATTGAAAATGTTCTCCCAATCTAATTCCATTTCATTATATCACTTGACAATTTTTATGGGACTAATTTCCACAACAATGATTGATCTGGTTGGAAAATCAGGATTCATCTATGAAACAATGCACACATTCGAGATCTAATGAAGATGAATTCGGTTGCACGATAGTCAGTAGCTACCAGAAAAGTAATTCCTCCATGTGATTGACGAAAATATGTGGATATGTTGTCCGTGACACAATGAGGTAAATCATTAGCACTAAAAAATCGACAGTCTAATCGTTCACGGAGGAGATGAACTACGAGCAAGTTGAGCTTTGAAGATGGATGAAGATGGATGTCGAATTACAAGCAATACGAGTACGGTGTTCATTAGTTCTCGTTTGGCTATTTGTTCGACTATTTTCATTTCAACATGCAGCCTATTTACAACGACAAAAATATTTGAGTGACATGACAATTTGTGATCATCAGTTGAGGGTGACCACTTTGCAGGGAATGGAATCGCAACAATGAGGCAAGTGTTTGTCGAAAATCCCAAACTAAATAGTGGTCGTTGATGTGAAACACTGTGAAATGTGTGAAATTGAAGTCCAAATGTGTTCTTATTGCGGAATTCATCGTTGGGGCTGAATCAGTGGATTGATTATGCACACAAAATGGAGAACTCGTTCAGTAGGAAAATATCTAGTCATGGAATGGTTATGGGCGCTCAACAATTTATGCTCGAAATCCACAAATGACAGATACTCAATCATCAATTTCACCTACAGCTAAATCGTTCGATTGAACCGTCTTCTCGTCTACTTATAAGTATATCTGAGAAAGGAAGCTGGTCGTTCTTCTCCTCTTCGCATAAAAGACTGATGCAGTTTTGATGAACGTTCAGTTTATTCAATAAACAATTGATATCGTCCTCTCATTCACAGATAATTATGATACCATCCACGTATCTCTTATAAAGGAACACGAATTCGACTAGGTCTTCAGCCACATTTACAGTATATGCCATGAACACATCTGCTGATAAACAATCTAGACGGTCGGGTGAAGTGGAGTAGATGGAGAATGACTAACAATGGAATGTAGGATGGACATCGGCTGAATGTAGCTTCATTCCAGAATTGATGTTCATCCGCAGGTCAAACCTCTTACCGTTCGCTTAAGACATCAACCACTCAGTTATTAAGTCAACAATTCCACTCACCTATGCAACCGTGTGAGATTAAATTCGATTTGAAATGGTTCGGATTATCCTGTTGTTGATATTTTGGTTGAAATTTGATCAGTCTTGGTCGGTATATGGTTATCTTGTGTAGATTGCCTCCACCAAACTGACGAGTCCTAAGTTGAACGAAATGCGTGTCCTGAATTCCACTACTAGTCACATTTCACCTATCCTATATTAGTTTGTGTCATAATGGCTATATCGAGGCAATCCTCACACAATGTATATGTGTCAACCAAGACTTGTCAAATTACAGCCTAAAATACCAACAACCTGATAATCCAAACTAACGCAAATCGCACTATTCAGTAAATTGATATGTACATTTTCCTTTACTTATGAGGTCACGACAGTGAGGCATAGCACTCACTTGTCTACTAACACAACGTACTTCTCAATACTTCGAAACATCACAGAAACTAACGTCCGTTCATCACACAATACAAAACGTATATGGAAAACACTATTTAGAATGAATAGGTTTTATTCATCTCGAATTCAAACACGACTATATTACAGTGAGTTGAATTGAGAGGTGTGTAGAAAAATAGGACAGTGGAGAGTGTGACACAAACAAATTAGAATCATCCACAACTCAACTGGTGCCTCAGTAACTGCTTCCATAATGGTTGGGTTTGTAAGCGCCACCTTTGCCGCCTTTGCCACCTTTGCCACCACCCTTACCCTTACCGCTACCACCTCCATAAACCTTTCCATAATTGTTGCCTTTACTACCACCTTTTCCATAGCCGTTGCCACCGTTACCATAATCACCGCCATAGGGAGCAGGGAAGGCATCATCGTAGCCACCTCCACAATTGCCACCACTGCAACCACCACCATAGCCACCACCGTAATTACCACAATCTCCACCATTGCAATCACCACCATAGCCACCACCGTAATTACCACAATCTCCACCACTGCAACCTCCACCATAGCCGCCACCATAGCCACCACCATAGCCACCGCCACATTCACTGCCAGTACAGCCTCCACCATATCCACTATCGCCATAACCGCTATCACAATCGCTACCATAGCAACCGCCACCGTACCCACCCGAATAGTCACGTGATGTGGTGTGGGCGGTGGCGTAACCAATGGCTACTAAGAAGACGAGTGTGAGTGACTGTTTCATTTTCCAAATTGTTGGTGTTGTTGCACTGGGTGTGATGATATGTAGACTAGTGTGATTTATCATTTATATATTGTTTTTGATTATAGATTTGAAGAGTTGTGCCTCACTAAGTGCATCATTATTCAATACATATTACGCTTGTGCACTCTACTGTTGAACTGCCTTTTGTGTAATCGTTAATGATAGTTGAGCGTGATAGTTAAAAATATCAATGAAACAGTTAGTTCACGAATTACTCACTATTTTGATTCTACCGTTAGAATTCGTTAGCATGTGGATCATCGAAACCGTTGATTAAGTCGTCATTGAATGAGACGAAACTCTTTTTGATGACACTGACAAGTGATGTTTCTCTTGACATACAAGTTATAACTAAACAGGTTAAATGAACGTTTATTTGAATTTAACTTGTTGACCTCATAGACGATGTTGTAACGACCTTAAATAAGGGATATCTGGCAGCAAACAATCAATTCTCCATATTGTCATATTTCATCCATGACAATACCGATTTAGATAGTAGACGAGACACTAGTACTAAAAACACTCCGTTTGTTCAGGCTAATTCCTCTCAAGGAGGTGTCATATGTCAGTAATTTAGGGACAACAAGGTGAAATCATTATTGGATGACCATAAGACAAGCCAGTTTTTATTTCAGATTGTAACTCATAATTTGTATTCGATTAACATAGTTTATCCAACATCCTGACAGAAGGTCAAGTTCAAGATAAAAGATATCCTAAATAGCGTGTTAGTCGGGAGTCGTGGTGTCGGGACCCGATGCTTTGCACACTATCATTGATATATTCTCATTGTTCGGACAAATAGAGTTTGTTTCGATAGTGTGAGTGGCACTTAACTACTTTCAACATTCATCTTACTCAAAACTGCAAAAGTGAAGTGAACACTTTTAGCCAACTCCATTGTCTCTCACTCATAATTTGTTTTTGCATGATTAAGATGACGTTGTTCAGTAGTGGATTCCCGTGTTTCAGTATTATGCAGAACCGTTTCAATTCTCATAATTGATTCATTGTGTTAGTAGCTGAAACCTGAATAGATACTTACTCACGTATTGTTGACTGCGAATTGTTGAAGTATTTGCAAATCAAGTTGGAATTGTCTGTAATGGCTTATGAACAGAAGAATCTCATAAAACAAATGAAAAAGCAAATGAACTCCTTGTATCAATCACTCACTACCTTTTGAGTGAACATGAGGAATATATGAAATCTTCTACTTGCGTTAGTCAGACCACATATGAAAAGTTTGAATATGGATAGTGACGAAGTTGCACCCATAATGCCCAACTGTGCTTCCATTTCTATTCGTGTGTGAGATAAGCTGTGTTGGCAAGTTGATTTACAGTCAGATATTCTGAAGTTTACTGCATCAACTCATCAAAGCTTTCGAATAAACCTCACAACACTCTGAGTGCACAATGTATTAAGTTCATCAGTGACAAATACGTTTATTACACACCTTGATTGGTATTCATGATAACAGTGTGTTTGTTAAATTCACATATATATAGCTTCGAAGTGGATGTGGTGAATACACTTACAGATTAATAGAATGTGTTCTCGGATAATGACATTCTTAATTGCCATAACCCTTATTTCATTTATTTCAATCATGAAACAATCAGTGAACGTAATAGAATCTAATATTGAATGAATTAGGTTATAACATGTAAGAATGGTTGTAAACCTGTGTTTGCTAATTAAATGACCAGTTAGCATTATACCATTCATTTAGTTTCATCTGATTTATACGGGTACATTGATGAACGTCGGCAAAGAGCACTATTACGATTGTTATTGACTGTCGACTTGTGTCCAACATGAATACGTAGTCTGGAAAATTATCCTGTGTGTTTCGATATTAAATACAGTAGAACTAATTATACTACAAGGCTTGCAATGTGCAAATCCTGTTGAAGAATTTGAGTAGGACAATTTACTGAATGGGGTATTAGTAAAAGAATTGGTAATAGTAACAAAAGAAGTAGGAGTGTTAGTGGTGGTAATAGCCGTTGTCGTCGTGGTAGTAGCATTACTAGTAGTGTGAGTATTGGGGGTAGTGTGAGTGTGAATATGAGTAGTAGTAGTAGTAGTGGTAGTAGTGGTAGTAGTAGTAGTAGTAATATTGTGAATATTATTCGTCATAATGTTAGTAGTGGTATTGTTTCTTCTTTCTGTTCTGCCAATAATGCTCCTTTGTCAGGTGCACCTAGATTTATGAATACAGTTTGCTGTATCATGAAAAGAGTCCTTTGTCAACCTTTGATTGGATTATTGAATACGTTGTTTTTATACAGAATTAATAATTTGACTGCCGGATACGTCCTGGCTAATGCTGTGTTAAGCCTCCTTCTCGTTTCATTTGTGACGTCATCACTTTTAAAGTTGAGATTTATAGACATCGGTTTCTTACTAACTGTAGGCATTTTCATCTGGTTTCCCTTAGGATTTTTATATTTTTCGATAAATTTCTATAGGTAACAGTTGTCTCTTCGACATTTTTCAACGTTCATCAGTTCTTCCAGTTTGTCGGCGGTACATTTCCTTTCTACCCTATTAAATAAAATTGCTCGGAGTCCATAACTCCAATGTGGACAATAATAAACACTATATGCATAGATTGTAGTTTTTCAACTCTTCGTTCTAAAACAAATTTGTTTGTCGGTTGCAGTGTGTATGATCATTTCAATGATCGATTTCGTTGCACTCAATTCTACTGTACCTGACAGGTCAGTTCATGAATTTATCTATGATTGCTCACCAGGACTGGTGAAAGATTTAATCTTCACTGAACCTTTCGCATTTGCGTCAAACAGATTTCGTTTGAGATGTGTAGATGAGAATTCTACTGTTTTCAGAAGGTGAGAATGAACAACGGCATAAAGTTTCAGTCGGTTGGCAATACACAACTCTGTTGAGCTATCCGGTTTTATGTACGTGACCTGATTGAGGAAGGTAGTAAGATTATGAATTTTTATTTCCATTAATAATAATAATAATATATTCTGAAAATAATATTTACAGAATTCAGACCAGTTTGCAGGCATGAGCAGATTGTTATAAAAATCAACATTTAATGTAGAGAGCAAACATGAAATATAAGAAAGTTTTATGTTTGCTGGTTTAGTAATTGATAATTAGTTTATATATGGCATATATCACGGCAAGCCAATGCAACACCAGGGAACTTGTCGAGTTATTGATAATTATCTACAACTAGAGAATGTAAGATAAAAGTAAAGTGCACGGAACAACAAAACAATGATAGCAAGTAAGAGGTTAAACACTTAAAGTTCCGATAATCTCACTTGTGGAGTAAGATACACTTGCAGGCGCTAGAGCATTCAATGCATTTTCAGAGGAGCAAAACGCATTAATTGAGCGAACAAACAATGGGAGAGAGTTTAACATACGGACAGGTAAAGTAATTCATATAGAGAGAAGATCTAGAATATGTTTGTTTCGCTAAAGACAAGAAGTTACGAATGTCGTAATGTGGGGCTTTAGCATATTGAATCGCCTGACTGGATGTGAAGGAGAGTTTGTTAAGTGTTTTGAAAAAGAAGATAAGGTTAAGTTTGAGTCTCCTCTTCCATAAAGGGTCAAGCCCTAGTTTACTACACCTCGAATTATATGTCAAGACACTATCAGTTCCAAGAGTACGAAGTGTAAATCGTCTCTGTACTGGTTCCGGTCTTAATTTATCCTTTATGCGCGTGCTACTAAGGAGAAACGCGCAGTATTCGAGGAGTGGTTGAACACAGACTTTGTACATTAGAATACGAGATTCGCTGTTATGAATGTTTCGAGTTATGTGACCTATAAGGCGTTGAAACTTGGAAGTTTGTTTCATTATCTGTTCAGTAAACGACAAGTCGTCGGAGTACCTAAGTCCTAGATCTACTACTGTGTGTAACATGTAGGATTTATTTTGTCCTACAGATATACTATTAAAACTGTAGACGCGATACTGGCGACCTCAGAGTCTATGTGAAAGTTATAGTCAGAACAAGGACAACTTGACTTTAAACTTTATCTGTTTCTGAACATAAGAACAATTAGATTAGTACAATAATTAAAGAATTACAGTCATTAAGTGAAACGCACAAACATACCGACCAGTATTGCGTGTCTTATTAAAATGAATAAAATTTATGAGTCACACTAATATAATAGGATAATAATGTCTTTCAATTAGCAGGTCACATGCAACAGGGATAGTTTACAGACACATCAGACCAGATTGACGTGGTGGGAGCCTAAGCAACGATTTGATTGGTTAGTTATGGACATAACTAACATAACCTAGATAACATTCCACCATTTATGGTAAAATCGAGGTTGAGTGATGTATCACCGAAGCATAACCATCCACATTTAGCTGTATTAAGCTCCAGTTGCTATTTCGAGCACCACTATGCTAACTTGTTAAGCTTCGTTCTGATACAATTTTTAATATTGCTCAGCTCATGTGGAGAAAATGAGTACACCACCTTAAGATCGTCTGCATATCAAATGGACTTACCCACACTAAAACACTCACAAATATCATTAATGAAAACTGAAAAGTGCAAAGGACCTAAGACACTACCCTGAATTACCCCACTTCTAACAGGGACGCCATTCGACAATGGAGAGTTGATTTTAACTATTTGATGTCGATTGCTGAGGAAGGAATCAAACCAGGCTAGTAACGGGTTTTGGACCCCATAAGGTGCGAGTTTACCTATGAGAAGTTGGTGGTTGACTATGTCGAAGGCCTTAGAAATGTCCAGGTATAGCACTGATACTAGATATCCTTGGCTACGAAGCGAATAGACTAAATTAAAGAAGTCAAAATGACATGTCATACAAGATCGATTTTTAAGAAATCCATGTTGCGAATCATCAATAAATTGTTCAGTCAATAAATAGTTGGATAGTTCGTCACTAATAATTTTTTCCATAATCCTAGAGATAACTGGAGTAATATTTAT